AACATCTTTATTAATGACTTAGATGAAGGGCTAGAAGGCATGATCATCAAGTTTGCAGACGACACCAAATTGGGAGGGATAGCCAATAGTCCAGAGGACAGGAGCAGAATTCAAAACGATCTTGACAGATTAGAGAGATGGCCAAAACTAACAAAATGAAGTTCAACAGTGACAAATGCAAGATACTCCACTTTGGCAGAAAAAATGAAATGCAAAGATACAGAATGGGTGACGCCTGGCTCGAGAGCAGTACGTGTGAAAAAGATCCTGGAGTCCTCGTGGACAACAAGTTAAACATGAGCCAACAATGTGAAAAAGCCAATGGGATTTTGGCCTGCATCAATAGGAGCATAGTGTCTAGATCTAGGGAAGTCATGCTACCCCTCTATTCTGCCTTGGTTAGACCACACCTGGAATATTGTGTCCAATTCTGGGCACCACAATTCAAGAGAGATATTGACAAGCTGGAATGTGTCCAGAGGAGGGCGACTAAAATGATCCAGGGTCTGGAGAACAAGCCCTATGAGGAGCGGCTTAAGGAGCTGGGCATGTTTAGCCTGAAGAAGAGAAGGCTGAGAGGAGATATGATAGCCATGTATAAATATGTGAGAGGAAGCCACAGGGAGGAGGGAGCAAGCTTGTTTTCTGCTTCACTGGAGACTAGGACGCGGAACAATGGCTTCAAACTACAAGAGAGGAGATTCCATCTGAACATGAGGAAGAACTTCCTGACTGTGAGAGCCGTTCAGCAGTGGAACTCTCTGCCCGTGAGTGTGGTGGAGGCTCCTTCTTTGGAAGATTTTAAACAGAGGCTGGATGGCCATCTGTCAGGGGTGATTTGAATGCAATATTCCTGCTTCTTGGCAGGGGGTTGGACTGGATGGCCCATGAGGTCTCTTCCAACTCTTTGATTCTATGATTCTATGATTCTAAGCACTGAACCCAGCCAACGTCAGATCTGGACCAAACTTGACAGACAGGCCTAACATGTTCAACTGTGCATACAGGCTGGGGTTGGGGGTGGGTGACCTTGGATCTGGGAGTTGTAGTTCACCCTTCTCCAGAGAGCACTGAAACCACCTGACAAATAACCCGGCCAACAAATGCCCTTTTCAAATAACCTGGGCATTACCGGGTCCCCAACCTAGTTTAAAATATTGTGTAAAATCCTAACCTTTGGTCTCTGCTGATGTGACAGGTGGAAACAACTACTTTCTTACTAGCCGTAGGTTGATCCTTTGGACTTTTGTTTGTGTGGCAATTGGGGAAAACTCTCTTTTTTTGTACTAGTTGAAATGATGTAATGTTAGCATGCTGGCTTGCAAATTCCACAAATACTTTCAGCAGGAGGCTAATAGTTTCTTGCCAGTGGCAGCACTGACCGGTAGGACAAATCCTGAGCAGATGCAAGAGCTTGTAGTGTTGGGTGAGGCCTCTGTTATTTTTTTTTTTACCAATAGTTTGACAATAGTTGATTTTACATTGTATTTGGTTTTTCCAGAAAGGCAGTGCAAGTATGTCAGAACACACCAAGGTGTACACTTAACTAGTCTGTACATTAAATAAAGCCCCATGGTAACTATCATGTCTCTGCATTACTGTGGTGCAATATTTCATCGCCAATGCATTGTTTGCATCATCGCTGGAGGGCAGAATAAATCAAATTTGAAAAAAACGCGAGCGCCACGCAAACAAAGAGGGTGAAACAGAGTCACGCTGGGGTTTTTTCGGAACCTACCTAATGGACACTAGAGATAGCATCTCGTGCTTTTTTATGCGTCGTTGAGTGCAATCTTTTATTAATAGCTGAGTGTTGAACATTTTGAGTGATGTTCTCGTCGTCATGCACCCCGACATGTTTACTCAGTAGTAAGTCCCATTAATGTTAATTGGATTGGGCTGCAAGTTGATTTAGCATTGGGTAGCAGCCTTTCCCAGTGTGCCCATGCTTGGGAAGAAGGCTTTTAAATGGGGAAGACTTACACGGTCACATTCCTGGGAGAGGCCCTTTGCAGTCTTTCTCAGAACAACTGTCTGAAGATGATTTGTCAGGTGCAGAAGTTAATGATAATCAAGTTAATGCAAGTGTAGCTAGAGAGTGTAAACAGAAACAGAGTGCTCAGGCGCAAAGAAGATCAGTTTGTTTACAGGAAAAGAGAGATTAAAAATCTTTATCTGGGTGTAAGGTCAAGAGAAATGCTTTCCTTTTGGTTTTGGGATCTGGAAAACCTTTATATTGATTCGTGGAAAAGAGTTGCCTCAGTTGGGTCAATGTTGAAATTTCATGACAGTCTTGCTTTCAAGTGTTCTTAGTTTCATGTACCAAGTTTTTTTTGCCAAACTCCCGATTTGGTTATTGGATTTTTCATGGTGCCTTGTTTCATGGATTCTGGTGCCTGTTTCATGGATTTGATACCTATGGATCTTGTTTTGCCTTGAAGCTCATGGACTATCCTTTGTTTTGGAACTTTACTCGTTTTGCTAATTTTACTGCTTTGCCTTATTTTCTTCAATAAACTGCTTGCTGATTTTACCAAGCTGTTGTGGTGCTTAAGGTCAGAGGTGTTCTTGCTCTGGTGTACGACACCCCAACAGTTTGAGACTTACTATTAAAATAGGCCTAACACTCAGTCATATCACCAACTCGGCATTGACTTAATATGGCTTGATCTAATCTGGTGTATTTATCATTTCCCAATCTTGAACCAGTCTGTTGTTCCATGGTCAGTTCTTACTGTTGCTACTTGGTCCTTATACAGATTCCTCAGGAGATAAGGTGATTTGGTTGGGAAAGACGTATGGCAGTGTTGCATACTCTCACCCAACCTATTAAACTTGTATGCAGAACACATCATGCGATGTGCGGGGCTTGATGAATGCAAGGCTGGTGTAAAAATTGCTAGAAGAAACATTAAGAACCTTAGATATGCAGATGACACCACTTTGACGGCTGAAAGCGAGGAGGAGCTGAGGAGCCTTCTAATCAAGGTGAAAGAAGAAAGCGCAAAAGCTGGGTTGCAGCTAACATCAAAAAAACCAAGATTATGGCAACAAGAGTAGAGACATCACACTGGCAACAAAGATCTGCATAGTCAAAGCAATGGTATTCTCTGTAGGAACCTCGGGATGTGAGAGCTGGACCATGAGGAAGGCTGAGCGAAGAAGATAGATGCTTTTGAACTGTGGTGTTGGAGGAAAGTTCTGAGAGTGTCTTGGACCGCAAGAAGATCCAACCAGTCCATTCTTCAGGAAATAAAGCTTAACTGCTGATTGGAGGGAAAAATAGTAGAGGCAAAGATGTATTTTGGCCACGTCATGAGAAGACAATAAAGCTTAGACAAGACAATGATGCTGGGGAAAAGGGAAGGAAAAAGGAAGAGGGGCTGACCAAGGGTAAGGTGGGTGGATGGTATCCTTGAAGGAACTGGCTTGACCTTGAAGGAGCTGGGTGTGGCCACAGCTCTGGCCTGGGTTGGTCCATGAAGTCACGAAGAGTTGGAAGCGACTGAACGAATAATCAACAACAAAAATACGCAGTCATGTCACCAACTCTGCATTGACTTAATATGGCTTGATTTAATCATTTACTGGTCTGATTTTGCCATGATGTATACACTGAGCCTTCAGCATCTGTATATTCTATACAGCCTTGTCTCCCTAAACATTGTGTCTTTCTGAGGACAACTGACACCAATAAAGGCTTGAGGAGGGCAGCAGGCCACAGCGCTTGAGGTGGCGGCCTTTTCTCTCGCTTCCCTCTTCCACTCCTGGAATATTGTGTCCAATTCTGGGCACCACAATTGAAGAGATATATAGACAAGCTGGAATGTGTCCAGAGGAGGGCAACTAAAATGATCAAGGGTCTGGAGAACAAGCCCTATGAGGAGCGGCTTAAGGAACTGGGCATGTTTAGCCTGAAGAAGAGAAGGCTGAGAGGAAATATGTGAGAGGAAGTCATAGGGAGGAGGGAGCAAGCTTGTTTTCTGCTGCCTTGGAGACCATGATGCAATGGAGCAATGGCTTCAAACTACAAGAAAGGAGATTCCCTCTGAACATGAGGAAGAACTTCCTGGCTGTGAGAGCCGTTCAGCAGTGGAACTCTCTGCCCCGGAGTGTGGTGGTGGCTCCTTCTTTGGAGGTTTTTAAACAGAGGCTGGATGGCCATCTGTCAGGGGTGCTTTGAATGCAATAATCCTGCTTCTTGGCAGAATGGGGTTGGACTAGATGGCCCATGAGGTCTCTTCCAACTCTTTGATTCTGTGACTGCTATACTTTTAAGAAGAATTCTGGTGCATGGTTGGCTATTTGATCATTAGAATTGGACACAATATTAAGTGATGCTATGACTTAATGTGGCTTGATTTAATCATTGACTGGTCTGATTTTGCCATGATGTATACATTGAGCCTTCAGCATCTGTATATTCCATACAGCCTTGTCTCCCTAAACATTGTGTCCTTCTGAGGACAACTGACACCAATGAAGGTTTGAGGAGGGCAGCAGGCCACAGGGCTTGAGGTGGCGGCCTTCTCTCTCGCTTCCCTCTTTGTAGGCCCAAAGAGACACATCCACCCTGGGAGGAGAGCCAAGGCAGAGCTCCTCCAGAGCCTTGGAGGGGGATTCCTCTTGGCTGCTTGGCCTTTCCCCTCGAGGGGGAAACTCCAGCCTTCACGGCCTCCTCCATCTTCTGAGGTGGAAAAAAAAATCCCTCCCTCTCCCCCCATTTTCTCTCAGCAGCGGCCTGAGGAGAGCGGGCTGTTCCATTCCGCGCCTCGGAGGGGGAGCGCTTTGACAGAACTTCCTCATTATCCTCCTCTGAAGGAACCTTTTCCCTTGGAATGTGCAATATGGATAGGAACGAAGGGATTCGATACGAAACCGGATCCCGGGTGGGTTGGTTTGTTTCGTTTTGGTTTCCCCCACCCGGTTTGGTTTTGGAGCGCCCCCTATTTATCGGAATGGTGCGGTCCGAGGGGTTAGCGGAAGCGCGGCGGCGGCGGCGGGGCTGCCATGTTGAGTCGCCTCCTCCTCCTCCTCCTCCGCCTCAGCCTCCTCCTCCTTCTCCGCCGCTTGTGCTTTGTTGTCGGCTCCATGTATAGCTGAAGGCCCCGGGGAAGGAAAGAAGGAAGGGAGGAAGGAAAGGAGGAAGGAAGGAGGAGGAAGAGAGAGGAAGCCCGACGCCTCAACGCAAAGCAGAGAAGGAGGAGAGGAGGGAGAGAAAAGACCAGGCCGCAGGGCCTGAGGAGGAGGAGGAGGAGACGAGGGATCTCTCCAGAGAGGAAAAGGAAGAGGCATTATTTTCTCCCCAGTCTTTCCCTCCTTTTTGGCCTCCCCCCTCCTCTCCGCCATGGAGGCCAATTGGACCGCGTTCCTCTTTCAGGTGAGGAAGGAAAAGCCAGGCAGGAAGCCCCGGGAGTCTTTTCCCGAAGGAAAATCGGACCCATTTTGTGGAAAAAAGGGGGGAAGGGGGGAGGACGGCAACGTGCGCGCTCCCGCTCCCCCCCCTCTTAAAAAAGGGGAATGGAGGTCGGCTGTCTGTCAAAACGAGAGCCCCCCTTTGCCCCCCCCCATTACTATGGGGAGGGGGGAGGAAGAGGAGGGGGAAGTCTCTTCCCAGGGAGGCCTCCCTTTTCTCCCTCGCTGCTTCTCTATGGGAGGCCGGCTGGAGCGCGCCCTTTCTTTCTCCCCATCCTCCTCCTCATCCCTCTCCCTCCCCTCCAAAAAGCATTGTTTTTCCCCTCTTCATCCCCAATAGACATTAACTTATTTTATTATTATTATTATTATTATTATTATTATTATTATTATTTCTTCTCCCTGGAATTGTTTCATCATCATCTCCCCCCAATATAGACCAACTTGTTCTCTTCTTTTTTTTCTCCCCATCCTCATCATACCTCTCCCCCCTCAAAATACACACTAATTTATATTATTAGTTTTTGTTACTTTTCCCTGGAATAGTTTCATCATCATCTCCCCAATTTATACCAACTTGTTCTCTTTTTTTTCTCCCCATCATCATGATCCCCCCCCTCAAAATACACACTAATTTATATTATTAGTTTTTGTTACTTCTTCCTTCTCCCTGGAATAGTTTCATCATCATCTCCCCCCAATATAGACCAACTTGTCCTCTTCTTTTTTTTCTCCCCATCCTCATCATGATCCTTCTCCCCACTCAAAATACACACTAATTTATATTATTATTTTTTGTTACTTCTCCCTGGAATAGTTTCATCATAATCTCTACCCAATATATACCAACTTGTTCTCTTTTATTCTCCCCATCATCATGATCCCCCCTCAAAATACACACTAATTTATATTATTATTTTTGTTACTTTTTCCTGGAATAGTTGACCCCTCTCCCCCCCTCAAAATACACACTAATTTATATTATTATTTTTTGTTACTTTTCCCTGGAATAGTTTCATAATCTCTCCCCAATATAGACCAACTTGTTCTCTTCTTTTTTTCTCCCCATCCTCATCATGATCCCTCTCCTCCTTCAAAATACACACTAATTTATAGTATTATTTTTTGTTACTTCTCCCTGGAATAGTTTCATCATCATCTCCCCCCAATATAGACCAACTTGTTCTCTTCTTTTTTTTCTCCCCATCCTCATCATGATCCCTCTCCCCCCTCAAAATACACACTAATTTATATTATTATTTTTTGTTACTTTTCCCTGGAATAGTTTCATAATCTCTCCCCAATATAGACCAACTTGTTCTCTTCTTTTTTTTCCTCCCCATCCTCATCATGATCCCTCTCCCCCCTCAAAATACACACTAATTTATATTATTATTTTTTGTTACTTTTCCCTGGAATAGTTTCATAATCTCTCCCCAATATAGACCAACTTGTTCTCTTCTTTTTTTTCCTCCCCATCCTCATCATGATCCCTCTCCCCCCTCAAAATACACACTAATTTATATTATTATTTTTTGTTACTTTTCCCTGGAATAGTTTCATAATCTCTCCCCAATATAGACCAACTTGTTCTCTTCTTTTTTTCTCCCCATCCTCATCATGATCCCTCTCCTCCTTCAAAATACACACTAATTTATAGTATTATTTTTTGTTACTTCTCCCTGGAATAGTTTCATAATCTCTCCCCAATATAGACCAACTTGTTCTCTTTTATTCTCCCCATCATCATGACTCCCCCCTCAAAATACACACTAATTTATATTATTAGTTTTTGTTACTTCTTCCTTCACCCTGGAATAGTTTCATCATCATCTCTCCCCAATATATACCAACTTGTTTTCTTTTTTTCTCCCCATCCTCATCATGATCCCTCTCCCCCTTCAAAATACACACTAATTTATAGTATTATTTTTGTTACTTCTTCCTTCTCCCTGGAATAGTTTCATCATCATCTCCCCCAATATATACCAACTTGTTCTCTTCTTTTTTTCCTCCCCATCCTCATCATACTCCCTCTCCCCACTCAAAATCTCTTATTTTTCTCTTTATCCCCAATACACACTAATTTATATTGTTTTTGTTACTTCTTCCTTCTTCTTGGAATTGTTTCATCATCATCATCTCACCCTCCCCCCAAATATATACTAACGTACTCTCTTCTTTTTTGTTACCTCTTCTCGCCCCCCTCCCAATGTCCACTTTCTAATTCTTTTTTGTTACCTTCTTCCTTTCCCCCAAATTGTTTCATCATTATCTTTCTCATCTCCCCTCCCCCCTCCAATATCCACTTTCTAAATCTTTTTGGTTACCTTCTCCATTTCCCCAACATTGTTTCATCATTATCTTTCTTCCCCCAACTTACTTATTTTCTTTCTTTTTTTACCATCTCTCCCCTCCCCCCCCCCAATATATCGTTTACTTTCTCCCAATATGACTAATTTATTTTCTTCTTTTGGTTACCTCATCTTTCCCCCATAGCTTCATCTCTATCCTTCTCCCCTCCCCCCAATGGCTTCATTGGCTATCTTTATTTCCCCCTCCCAGCTTACACTAACTTTCTTCCATAGCTTCATTGTTATCCTCCTCTTCCCCCAATATACACTAACTTAATCTTTTTGTTGTTGTTCTCCCCCCATCATTATCGTTATTCCTCCCCCAAATGGTTTCATCAGTCATCTTTCTCTTCCCCTCCCAGCTTACACTAACTTACCCCCCATAGCTTCATCATTATCCTTTTCCCCTTTCCCCAATATACATTAACTTGTATTCTTTTTTGTTTTCTCCTCCTTCCAGCTTACACTAATTTAACCCCATAGCTTCATCACTATCCTTCTCCCCTTCCCCAGTATAGACTATCTTATATTATTTTTGTTCTCTCCCCATAATCATTATTCTCTCCCTCCCAGCTTACACTAACTTTCCCCCATAGCCTCATCACTTCCCTTCCTCAATATACACTAACATTCTTTTTTGTTCTCTTCCCATCACTGTCATTATTCACCCCCAAAATGGCTTCATCAGTTATCCTTCTTTCCCCCTCCCATCTTACACTAACTTACCTCCCATAGCTTCATCACTATCTTTCTATCTCCCTCCCATCTTACACTAACTTATCCCCCACAGCTTCATCACTATCATTCTCCTTTTCCCCAATATACACTAACTTATATTCTTTTTTGTTCTCCCCCCCCCCCCATCATTGTCATTATTAGCTCTCCTGCCCCCCAGCATACACCAACTTATTTTATTCCTTCCTTTTTTATCACTACTTCTCCCCCTCACCACCCGGCCCTTTTGAAATGGGGGGGGGGGGGGAGATAATCAGCTTTCCTAGGGTGGTTTTTTTTGTTTGCTTCGTCAGTCGCCATTTGATTATTTATTTGAAAAACGATATCCAGGACGTGTGTTTAATGACTTATGTTTCCCCCTCTTTTTTGCTGAGCTTGACTCATCTCTTTGTTTTTCTCTCTTCCCTCCTTCTTCTTTCTTTCCTGCCCCAAGTTCTGTCCAGCCTGTGAAGTTTAAAGGAAAACCCTGCTGTTTCGTTCTTTCAAAATGTCCCCTAGGTTTTTAGGACTGGAAGGAACTCCGTCCTTCCTAGAGACTGTTTTTGAACATATTCTGGCCTCCCTATTTGTTTTGTTTGTGTCTGATTCTGCATTCTTCAGCTTTTTCCCCTCCCTTCACAGTTTTTAAAAAGTCTTTTACTAATTTGCTAGACACCCCCCTTCTTTTGAATTCTTTTTGCATTTGTCTCTTCCACACGATTTTCTGCTGTTTCAATCTTCAGCCCTTTTTCTTCCCCAAGTTTAGGATGTTTAATTGATTCCCAGAATATTATGTCTATGCTCTTTTCTTCCCCACCCAACCTTTTGCAATTTTCCCCTGTTTCAGTGAGAATTCGGAATGCTTCACTTCACTCATTTGGGCCTCTTCTCCATCTTGTGTGCTTCTCTCTCCCTGCTGTTCATTTGCTGCTGTATTTTTCTTTTCTTCCTTGTCTCTTCGGGATTTCTGTCCATCTCATCTGCGTCCTCCTTCCCTCCCCAATGCACTCTTGCCTCCATCTCTGGTACCATTTTGTTTGAGTGTATTTGTGCTTGAATTAATTATCAGGTTTTATAATTTTGCTGCCTTCCATTAAAAGGTGCCTCTCTTCTCCTCATCCAGTTTATTTCACTTGCTTTAATCTTTTCCCACATCTTATCATTGATACTCCTCCTTTAGTCTTTATGGTGTTATAGGACCTTGGCTTTGGGGGTATTTTGTAACAGATCAGCACAATTAGTCTGGTATTCTTTGATTTGTGGTTGCTGCTTCTGCTGCTTCCCTTTCTGTGGCAGCTTTTAACCTGTATTTTACTGATTTTTCATTGAGAGTTTTCCTTTTATTTCCACACATGCATATGGGATTCCATTTTGCTCCCTTCTGTTTTCCATTTTTCTGTTATCCTACTCATTTCTGTTTTCATCATACAGAATGGCTCTCTTTAGTTTCTCTTTTGATCTCCTTCAGGGACCTTTCCACACAGCCCTATATCCCAGAATATCAAGGCAGAAAATCCCACATTATCTGAGTATGGACTCAGAAATCCCAGTTCAAAGCAGATATGAGGGCCTTTGGAAATAAAAGGAAAAAGAAACCAAACAAGAAATCATATAGGATATGATACTATGAAACTTGAGAATATATTATGAGAACTAAGGGAGAGCAAAAAATATAGTAATATATAATAGTAATATTGTGCTATGTTAATAATATAATATATTGTATATACATGTGTTTTATGTTTTAAATTGAATACTGTTTTTAATTGTTGTAAACCGCAATGAGTCGCCGACTTAGGCTGAGATATTAGCGGTATACAAGTGTATAAATAAATAAATAAATAAATAAATGTTATATTTATAATATTATAATGTAATACTATATAATATTAATAAT